GAGGAGGAGGAGGAGGAGGAAGCATGCACAGGTGCAAGCACCCCATGGTAACATCTGGTGACAATGCTTGTTTCTATGGATAAAGCCTCTACTCCATGGGGTTGAAGTGCAAAACAACAATGAAAGCATTCCTCCCCAGTAACCACAAGTGCAGGACCCTGTCCTGGGACTGGAGGTCCAAGGGTGAGTGCAGGAGGTGGCTACCTTGTCCCAAGGCAGAGGTGGGGATGGGAGGTTTGCTGTTTCCCTTCCTCGGAGAAGGCTCCAGAACACAGTCACGGAAGTGGCCCCTCTTTGGAAATGTCAGGCCTCCAGGTCCAGGCAGGGCCCCATGAGCATTTTGCGTCCTAGTTGTGAGGACACCCAGCTGGGACCCAGCTCACATTTGCCCTCAGTGCCCACCTGCTCTTAAATGCTCCCCAAACAACAGAGCCACACTTCCTGGGAGCTCCCTCATGCCTGGCTCCTTGGATTGTGGCTGGGTCCCCTCCAGCCTTACAGCTCCCTGGGACAGCAGTGGGGGGGGGAGGCAGGATGATGGCTAGGGACCCCACAGAGGACCTCAGAGCACATCAGTCCCACACCCACCTTGGCTGGAATAAACCAACTCCAGCCCCGTCAACTCCAGGTCAGGGACAAGGGTCAAACCTGGGCTGTGGACTGGCTTTGGGGAAGCGTTTGTGCCAGGCATTTCCCAAGCGCTGACCAGGTTGTGTCACAGCCCCAGGCCGACCCTTGCCAGGCTTTAGGGCCTGGCCCACTTCTCCCTATAAAGCACCCTGCCCGCAGCAGCTGCTGTCCCTGGTCTAGGCACCTCCTGCTCTCGCCATGGCGCTGCACTGGGCCCTGGAAGCCCTGTGCCTCCTCCCACTGCTGAACCCTCAGAACCCAGCCTGCACCAATGTCACAGCCATGCCCATCACCAGCGCCACGCTGGACTGGGTGAGTTCTGGGGGCCTGCTGCCCGAGTGCTGGGGCCTTCCCTCCCTCTCTGAGCTTTGATTCTCCTTCAGGTTCAGAGCCCCTGCTCCTGGCTCTGCCTTTTCTCTGCTGGAGCAGGTGACATCTGACCACTCTGGGGACCACGGGAGGCCTCCCCTTACCTCCAATTTGAAAGCAACCACATTCATTATTACCGAGCCAGGACAGCTCTGGGGGCTGAGGGAGTGAGCTCAGGCTGGTGCACACCCCGCCCGGCCTGGGTCTCGCTGATGCCTGAGCAGAGGGAGAGGAGGATGGGTCCTCAGGGGTTTCTCCACCCTGAGCTCCACATCTGCCACTGCCCAGCTCAATCGCAGGTGGTTTCTTGTCGCCTCTGCCTTACGGAAACCTGAGTACAAGCAGGGGGCTCAAGATTTGCAGGCAGAGTTCTTCTACTTTGACACACACCCCAGGGAAAATGCTGCAACCATCAGGGAGCACATGACCATGTGAGTTCTGAGAATCTGTGTGCTTCCCACCCTGCGAGGGGGTACCCGCCTTCACCCCACCCCCTCCACTGCCCTGCTGAGTCACACTGACCTTGACTTTCTTCCTGGTCCTCACCACTCCTGGCCTCCTCCTGTGTGCTTCTAGCGGGGACCACTGCATCCAGAACTCGACCTTACTCACAGTGCAGAGGGAGAATGGAACCTTGACCAAAGTTGGTGAGGCCTGGCCCTTTGTGGGATAGGCAACAAGGGTCTGGGCCATGGCTGCTGGCAGAGCTGACCAAAGAGAACCCAGGCAGACCCAGTCCCCTTAACCCTCTCATCCTGGGCCAACAAATCTGAGCCTTCACTGTGTGACAGGCACTGTTCACAGCGCTCTGCATAAACCAACGACTGTGTGCAGATACCTCTGGGCCATTGCAAGGATCCCGTGAGGAGACACCACGCAGAACCCAGGAGACGTCCTGAGCTCACACAGCTTGTTGTCACAACTGAATTCAGAGCAAGTCTGGCCCCAGCTCTGTGCTCTCAGTCATGCTTTAAGATCCTGTGGAACCTAAGGAGAAGCCCATGGGCTGGCACTGGACACTCCATTCGGGTCCCCACTGTCTCCGGATCTGACACAAAAACTCCGGTGGGACCACGTAGCAGACCTGAGTCCCCTCTGCAGGTCTCATCTCTCTCATCTGGGAAATGAGACAGTGGGCGTCTGAGGCTTCCCCTGCCCGGGACCTGTGTGCAGTGTGAAGCCCTAGTAGTTCAGGGAGCCCAGGTCCATGGCAGTGAGGATGGGACACAAGGGCTGGGTTTGCAGATCTCACTTTGCCCATGGGGCTCTTTCTCCCGCAGTGAATGATAAGGTGTATGTGGCCCACCTACTGCTCCTACGGGACCCCCAGAGCTTCATGCTGGGCTTCCACCTGGATGATGCGCACAACCGCGGCCTGGTCTTCTACAGTAGGTGCTGTCACGCAGACCCAACCTGCCTGCACCCCTCCACAGTACCCTCACCCTCTTCTCTATGTCCATGCAGCTGACAAGCCAGAAGCGTCACCTGAGCAACTGCAGGACTTCCACGAGGCCATTGAGTGTGTGGGCCTGAACACATCAGAGATCCTGTATGTGGACTGGAAAAAGGTAAATGAAGGGGCCACAGGGGCCAGCAACTGTGTCAACCCCAGAGGCACAGAGAGGGGAAGCTGCCACCCTCTCAGCCTACCAAGGGGGCTGTAAGCCTTAAGGACAGGCTTTATTGCACAGTCAGTAGACATCAGAGATTGGAGTGGGTGGGGAGGACCAAGGAGGGAGGATCCCTTAAGGAGTCAGGGAGCACCTGGGGCACACAGGGATTCTGAGCAGAACCCCTGGCGCGGACTCCTTGTGACCCCCTTCCTACCTGCTTTTATCACACTCCTTGTTTCTACTGCCTGGCTTCATGGCGTAGGTATCCAGGCTTTGATGCCACACAAACCTCAGCAAATCCAGGACTTTGATCCTTATCGTTACACAAGGGAGTAGCTTGTGGAATGGCCTCCTTTGTGCTCTTCTCCAAGCCTACCTCCCTGCACAGCCCTATCTGCTAACTCAGAGCTGGGCAGCGCTGACACGTGGGGTCATAGCCGAGCCAGGATTTCCTGACTACTACCAAGAAAGTCCTCATCCTTCCATGCTGGGCTGAGGCTCTTGGCCTGGGAAAGGTCTCAGGGACGTGGCTGGCTGCCCTGGCCCTCTGCTCGGAGCCGTTGCCCTCCTGGGGCCTTGGGACAGGTGTCCAGCTGCCTCGGGGTGCTCTCCGAGGATGCGGCAGGCGCACCGGGAAGGCTTAGCCAGCTCTGGCTGGGGTTTGAGCACTTTGTGGGGTGAAGAAGCTGAGGCCCAGAGAGGGACGGCAGCAGGGCCCAGGCCCACCAGCCACGGAGAGCCGGGCCATACCTGTGCCGACCACTGCCTTTTCTTGCTGTGTCCTAGAACAAGTGTGAGCTGAAGCAGCAAGAGAAGACGAAGGGAGAGCAGGAGGCCTAGGAGGACAGCGCCTGGCGGCACCTCGGGCCTGGGGCTGTCTGCCCTCTGCCCTGTGTGACCCTGTGCCCCTGCCTTGTCTCCTCATGAATAAAGATCTCACTGGGGACAGTCAGCTGGCCAGTCGCTCCTCCACTCCCTCACTCATCTGTGCCTGCATGGGGTGCAGGCTGGGTGTGCAGGGGCACAGGCAGGCCTGGCTGGAGGACCACAGGGTAGGAACAGGCCCACTGGGGACAGCACCCGGGAAGGGGCTCTGAGCCACCTGCAAGGGACTGGAGACAGCCCAGTGCTCTTGCTGCAGGCCAAACCCTGAGTGGACACGTCTGGGGAAGTTGAGGCAGGAACCTGAGCAGGAGGAGGGTGAGGATGATCCTCAGTGCACACCTCCCAGAGACCACCTGGACCGCTGGGTTGGGAGGCCCAGGCAGAGGAAAGAAGGCCATGGTGGGGGCCTTGGGGGAGTCCTGGAAGAGGCTGCTGCCTGGCCTGGCCTCACTGGGCAGTAGCAGGACAGGGGATGGGGGGTGCGGGACTCGGCCCTAGCCCATCACTGGCTCTGTGCAGCTGTCCTCAGGGTGCACTCCTGAGGGGACAATGACAAAGGCAGCTCCAGAAAGCAACTGACCTCTCCCTTGGAAATGTGCTTGGTGCCCTAGGGTTGGAGCCATGCACCCTTATCCTGCAGTTAGGGGTCGAAACAGAGCTGGGGTCCAACAAGGGTGGGTGGGGGCAGGTGTCTTGGTCTCTCCTGTGGGGGCTTGGGATCACTGGTCTCTCCTCCCCTTGCTAAACAGAGTGTCGAACTTCTTTGGCCTCAGCACAAAAGGCTCACCCAGATCTCCCCAGAGGAGAGGGTGAGCTGGGGAAACTGAGGCCAGCGGAGCAGCAGGTCTGCAGGGAAGCCTTGGCTGGGCACATGACAGCCACCACCCCTCTAGCCTCCCTACAGAAACCCCAGGCTACCACACACAACACTCATGCAGGCAGATTTGGGAGATCATTCTTCCTTTGCACTTGTAAACAAAATAGATTTTAAAGGCCTCAAATGTCCAAAGGTCTGCGATGCACACACACTGCAAGGATGCTGAGGTCTGGTCTTCCACAGGATGGGGAGCGAGGAGTGGGGCCTTCTGGGTAGCTGGTTACCAGTCCAATGGCACTGAGGCCAGGGAAGAGCCCAGGCCTCGAGATGAGGTACTGAGGGGGCTTCATGGGCCCTCTCCAGTTGGCTCCATCCCAGCAGACAAAGGCCCCTTGCAACCACAGGTCACCCTTCAGCACCACACCCTGAGATGACCCACTTGTCCCCAATGTCCCTCAGCCTGCCAGTCACCAGGAGCAAGGTGTCTGGTCAGGCCTTTCCCAGATACATGTGCCCCAGAGTGGCTCGTAACAGGCAGGCAGAGGACAGGTTGGGTCTGGAGCCCCTGCCTTCCACCTTCTCTGGCCTTCTAAGGAAGAGTGAAGTCAGGACAATTCTCCAGCAAAAAAATTCGTCCATCTGTGTATAAAGTAGATGATACCAGCGAGGAGGGACAAGTGCAGGGCCAGGAGGGCTCCTCAAGAGCCTGCATCTGGATGGACACGGCCTTGGTCACAGTACCTCCTGGGTTGGCCTCAGCCCCCAAGAAGCTGCCCTTCTTGGTGACAGGCTGGTGCCCCTCGACTACGAGCATGCTAGATTCAGCAGGTGGGTGTCCCTCCTGGGAGGTGGTTGTGGGCTCCTTCCCAGTGTCAGCATCCCCAGCCAACATCTGGCTTGGGTCCCACATCCCCTCTGCCTGGGAGCTTCCAGGCAGTCAGAAGAGGCAGGAGCCCCGCAGGCCATGGGCCTGGCGCAGGTCGGCTGACAGCGAGCGGCGCATCTGCCGGCTGGTGGAGCGCACGCTCTCGGCGGCCTGCACGGCCCGGCTCAGGGCCCTGTGCAGCTCCTCCAGGTCATCTAGGTCCAGCTGCAGGGAGTGCCGGTGTCCTCGGGAAGGCCGCAAGGAGGCCTTGGGGACTGAGGTAGGTGCTGCAGGTGCATAGTACCTAGGAGGAAAGTAACCACGCCCATTAGCACCGAGCCAGGAGCACAGCTCAGAGTCTTCCAAGTGCCGGCTCGGGTGCCGGTCCCTGCCTTCTGGGACTTGGCTTCTTTGCCTATAAAGGGGTCATAAGAAGCACATAAAAGGATGATCTGGGAGAGGGCAGAAGAGGACAGTTGTGAGCGGCCAGCCTGGACCTACCCAGTCTTCAGCATGGGTGGCCCATACCCCTCACTCCCTTAGCAACTTATTGAACACTATTCCCTGTCAGCTCTGGAGTCATCATGGAATCAGCCTACATGGCCTCTGCTGCCTTGCAGGAGCTTCTAATCAGAAAACCAGATTAGGGGAGACCAGGTCCCCACAGACGTGGAATAAAGCCCCCCTTACTGGAAAGGTAACATCTGAAGGTCCTGTTCGCCAACCATGAGGTGCTGAAGTAGGAGAGGAACCCTTAGCACTGATCGGGAGACAGGGCCAGTCCCACCCCTCCAGGGTGGCAGGCAAGTGTCCCTCCCCAGCTGACCCTCTGGAAGGAGCAGAGCTATTTTCAAGGGAAACATGGCTGGTGATTTCCCCAAGAAGTGATGGCTGCTCTCATCAGAGCCACTGATGTTAGGGCTCAAGGGAGGTGTGGCTTCTGCAATGTAAATAAAGTGTGTGTGTGTGTGTGTGTGTGTGTGTGTGTGTGTGTGAGTGTTTGCGCATGTGCACATGTGTGTGTGGCTGGGAGAAGAATATGGAAGCATTTGACCCCAGTGAGGCAGGAATGATTTGCAGGCCCAGCCAGAGGCACCTTTGGCATCTCCCTCAGCACACTGTCAATTCGATTCTAGCTTTATTCTCGGCCCCCGGCCTTCTTTCTTCTTCATTAATATATTTTACTGTATGTAACAATCGTATTCCTCATGGCGAGCTGGGCCATGAGCATGTAACACATCTCAACTGTCATCCTCATCCTTCTCCTCTCCCCACTGTCCTTACTCCCTCTGTATCTTGGTCCGCTTCTCCTATGCAAAAGAGCCATCTCCCTTCTCCCCTAGTTCCTGCTGTCTGTCCTTTATTTGGTTCTTTATTTATATTTTGGGCTTTTCATATGAGGGAAGCCATGTGACATTCGAGCTCAGGTGTCTGATTTGTTTCACTTATTATGGTCTCAAGGTGCCTTCATTTTTCTACGTCCTACCTTCTAACTCGTGTTTCTGTGTGTGTGTGTGTGTGTGTGTGTGTGTGTGTGTGTGAGAGAGAGAGAGAGAGAGAGAGCGAGAGAGCGAGAGAGACAGACAGACAGACGGGCAGACAGACAGAGGAGAGAGAGAAGAGACAGAAGAAACAGAGACAGAGAGAGACAGAGAAAGAGACATAGTGACAGAGACAGAGATGGGGGGGAGAGAGAGAGAGAGAGAGAGAGAGAGAGAGAGAGAGAG